CTGTGAAAATCACAGTGAGAAGCACACAAGCGCCTCTAGCGGCTGTCAATGAGACAGCAACTAGAGGGAATAGGGGGAAGGCTTAACCCATTCATAAACATAGCAGTTTCTCCTAAACTGCTATGTTTATAAAAAAAATGGGTTAACCCTAGAAGGACCTGGCACCCAGACCACTTCATTAAACTGAAGTGGTCTGGGTGCCTAGAGTGGTCCTTTAACTCCCTCACAGTGGGTCAGAACCCAAACTGGTCCTTGGTGCTTGAACAGGCACCTCATATCATGGACACCTGCAATAATAATTTGTTCACCATAGTCTCACACCAATTAACTGGACAACCTTTTAGACACTGGAAGAGTTTTGTAGGAAACAAATAAACAGGTTCCGCCACTTTGATAACATAACAATCCAGCATTTTATTCACCCTGTACTTAAAACACCTCCCAGGAGACGGAAAAGACGTAGAAACAAAGGTAGGAGACTGGAAGAGTCTCCCAAAAATGGTTAGAAGCCACTGCTCTAAAATATACTTTGCATAAATTTACGAGTTGACATGATCTTAAATAATTATAGTAAGAGTTATATGCCGGGGGCATTATGGGTATTAAAATATACTGACATTAACGACTGGGATTATTATCTCTTGTTTATTATGTTTATTAATTAATAAATGAATGAATAAGGTCCCAGAACCTAAAAATTCAAAGTGGACAGTTCAATACCCTTCTAAAAAGAACCAGGTTTAAAAAGGTAAATATATTCATACCAAACCTGTGATTGTGCTTTGTGATTGGTTTTCACCTGCGGGTCGACTAAAACATAATGCATTTTAGGATGTTGAGAATATTTTTTGACGTTTTGAAATGACCAATTAAACATGTTTCATGCACAAGGCCATTAAGCAGGATACATTTTTCATGATCTGTCATAGCTTACCATACAAGCTCTAGTTCCATTTTCCTGTTTAAAAAAAAAAAGTCCTAAACATTCTAACAGATCTTACCGCCTTTAAAGTTCTGAACAAGTACGTCTCTTGACCTTTCCCGGCCTTGGCTCTTGAATAAAGCAGAGCAATGGATATATCTAAAGCGGGTGTTGACAGCGCCACTGAAGAAGACGGCAGTTCTGTAAGCAAATGTACATGGTGATTATGTGTCAGTTTAATTCCCTAAACACATAAAGCATAATGGAGTGAAATTCTTGTAATCATGAACAATATATTAAGCATGATGTGGGTAAAGTTAATTACAGAAAGATAGAGCGACAATAGCAATAATAATAAAATTCAACTTCTGTTTCCGTCATTTGCCATTCACATTTTGCCTTGTTTTAGACACTTACTTGCAGTGGGTGTTCAAACCTATCTGGATGGGTTGTACAAGTCTAGATCAGTCCCTATTTGAAGCACAGCATGACTTGGGTGGTGGCAGAGAAATTAGATGTTTCTTGGTTTAAACACTTGCGCAAACATAAACATGTTGTATTCCGCCTATACAAGAGGACTTCAATAAGTGCTCTGCACACGATGGGCTACCCTCAATGGGGCTGGCTAGTGTGGCTGCAGGAACAACTTATGTGCACGCACAACAGGCTAGTATGCCACTGTTTTTGGTGGGAATGTTCCTTTTTAGGTAGTTCTGCTCCCTGACCGCATCACCAGCTAAGTCAATATTTGCACTTACATTTACTAATTTTTACTTAGATTAGCACATTTTCTTAAATCATTGTGTATTCATGCCAGGCTAGCATGCCCCCTTTTTTGGATGGTACTGCATTTTTTTTTCCTAGCTGTACTGCCCAATGTACATTTCAAGTGGGGCAAACATCTTTTTTAAGTTCACTAAATGTTGGTAAATATTTTAGCTTCATCTTATGTCCTTTTCTAAACATTATTGTCTTTCACTGACCAGGAGAATTTGAGCATGGTGCAACTTAAAGTGCTACTTCAGTTTCAATAACCACTTGTGCTTTTAGAATGGTCATGGTGATAGGAATCTGTACGTACATGGTTTCGGCTTGAAACGTTGCCACATACAAAGATATTGCAGTTTTGTGCTCCCTCCCTTTGCATGCTCTTCCATCCCTTCCTGCCTCCCTCCATTGACAGTCATTGTTTTTTGTTTTTTTTAAATCCCTACTTCTATCCAAGCTCCCTCTTTCTCCCTCCCGTCTTCAGCTCAGAGCAGGGACGTACCTAGAGCATTTGGCACCAGTTCAGATGGTAATTGCTTATCTCTGCACTTGTGAGCTATGCCAGCTTCCCGGCACCTCAGCTGCCATGGGGCACAGCTCACACACCCCCCTCCAGCACCCAGACCATGATCATGGCACCCCCCTACCTGGTGGCACCCGGGGCAGACCACCCACCCCCTCCCTTAGTTGGCCACTGGCATATATGCTTTAAGTCAGTTAGATTGGTCCAATTAAATGCTTCTCTAAGAGAAGCATTTTATTGGACGTTGGAGAGAGAAGAAGTGATGTTGGGTAGATGTGGAAACCAGAGTGAAGCTTCACCTGACAGTGTATTCCTGGTAAGTTTTAACTTAATATAATCGGTTTTTGGCACTAGAAAACTGAGGTGGACATAGTTAATAGTGTCCAACAGGGCATTATAGATTAAAACAAAACAAGAAAAAACCTTAAAAATGTAAAAAGTTTTTTTTGCCTTAGAGATATGATCTTAACACAACCCACTGCTTTGTAAAGGTTTTGCGCATATGTTCCAATTTAAAAGAGAAATTAAATAGCTAGCCATTTTCACTGCTGAAATAAAAACACTGTCTGCTTCTGTATATTTACATTCTGGTAACAATAACAAGCGTGTCTAATTTTGTTTCTGATATTCGTAGAATATGAATATATTGCAGGCATACTAATCTGACATTAAAGGGGGTTACACAATCCTAAACGCTCCTTTCAGTATTCTTTGTTCTATGATAAATACTTCGGAACCATAATCCTTTTTAATCCTGCAAGACAATTCATATGTCATTTTTGTAGCTTTGAGTTATACCCTTTAAAACATTCAGCGTCTGTGTTTTGGAGACCAAACTTGGAGATTAAACGATGGGGTCCTAAAGAAAGTTTGACTCATTCCTGACTTTTTCAACAAATTCAGGATTAGTTATGGTTTAATCATTTAACTGCATTGACGAGGAAGGCACAGAACAATCATAAAACTAGAAATCTATACTGATCAACCACGACATTAAAACCGCCTGCCTAACATTGTGTAGGTTCCCCTCGTGCAGCACAAACAGCTCTGATGCATCAAGGCATGGACTACACAAGACCTCTGAACATGTCCTGTGGTATCCGGCAGAAAGACATTAGCATATACTGTAAGTACTGCAAACTGAAGGACTGACCTCAATAGGACTGAGATCTGGGGAATTTGGAGACCAAGGCAACACCTTGAACTCTTTGCCATGTCCCTTAAACAATTCCTGAATTTTTTTTCGCAGTTTGTTAGTGTGCATTATCCTGCAGATATCCTCTGCCATCAGGGAACATCACTGCCATGAAGAGGTGTACATGGCCTACAACAAACTCTAGGTAGGTGTTACGTGTCAAAGTAACGTCTACATGAATACCAGGATTCAAGGGTTCCCAGTAGAACATTACCCATAGGCTAGTCTTTGCTACCAATGTACATCAATGAGCCTTGGTACACTGGCGGATCCAGGGGGGGGGCAACGGGGCAATTGCCCCCCCCGAGAAATCCGCCGGTCTCCCTCCCCTGCCAGCAGCACATGCAGGTGCTAGCCCTGCAATGTGCCTGCGGACCGGAGGGGAGATCGGAGATCTCCCTCCCCGGTCCGCAGGCACTGTGCTGACAGCCGGCAGGGGAGGGAGAGGGAGTGAGAGAGAGGACCCGGAGCTCAGGCTGCGGCACCTCCGGGTCCTCCTCTCGTGAGATTTGAAGCGTTGCCGCGGTTACCACGGCAACGCTCCAAATCTCGCGAGAGTGAACTCTAGCCCGGGAGCGCGGGCTAGAGTTCACTCTGACCACCTGACCACCAATGAATCACCACTGGGACCACCAGGGATAGAAATATGTCCCCCCTCCTCCCAGTAAAGGTAAGAAGGGAGGGGGGACATAGGATAATATTTATTTTAATTAAATAAAAAAATATTATACTATAAAAAAAAAAAGCCACCCTACCCTGATCACACACACACATAGCCCCCATACTGCCTCCCCCCATACACACATACTGCCCCCCATGCTGCCCCCCCATACACACATACTGCCCCCCATGCTGCCCCCCCATACACACA